AAGTAACACGACAGGCCAACACAGCACAAGTATAAAAAACAAAAAATAATAATGTTGAGAGTATATAGAATGAGACAAAAATATCGAGAATAAAGATTGGCTAAAAGATAAAAGCTCGAGGAGATAAAACGGGATTTGGTAATATCTTGAACTTGCGATTTTCTTTTATGTTTCTTCCTTTGCTTCTTTTTCCTCATAGTTTTCTTTCGTTCTTATTATTTATTTATTCTTTTTTAAATTTCTTTCCTTTATCATTCTCATTTTGTTTTTTTTAACCTTTTTTCATTTACTTTGGCCCCTTATTTCCCTCTCATTTCGCTCAACCCCGTACGGTATAGTACACTAGCTTTTTTTGTCTTCTTGTGCAAGCAAAGACACACGCGATCTTTAGACCCTACCCGCAGAGGAGAAAATAACCGAGATGAAGATAAAGAAAATAGACGATTCAAAAATGAAAGTTACGGGGAAAAAAGCTTCAGTTGAGCATAGAATTATTTCAATGCGCTAGGACTGTGCCCGTAGTTGGGATTTTAATGAGTTCCTTTCTGAAGTATACTTTTTTTTCTACTTTTATCGTTTATATTATACACACTTGTTCTACCACCACCAAATTATTGACCTTCCTAAAGAAAATACCTTCTAGTTTTTCAGTTATTTTTTCCAACCTGCCACTCATTGAGCTTCACTTAATTATTTTTACAAGATGCAAGATGAAAATCTAAGAAAAATTTCAATACAATTTTTTTATAATTTAATTAAAAATAAAAATAAAAAATTTCGATTATTAATTTATTTTTTTTTTTTAATTTAACTAATATTTTATTTTTAAATTTATAAATTTTGATAGTCGATAAAATAGAAATTTTTTTTTACTTTGTAAACAATTTTAATTTCTTTTTTAAAATTTATTATTATTATTATTATTAATTATTATTTTTTAGAATATATTTAAACTTCTAGGCTTACATAAAAACGTATAAATAACTATTTACGCTCAATATTTTTATCTACCCGTTTCCTATCTAAGAATTTAAAAATTTATTACTCTAGTCTAGTTGAGTTAATATATAAATTAAGCCGATACACGATCCGACCAACTGTTGACACAATGATTGAAGCCGCCAACGAATCAACTGGAATTAACTATAATTACGCACTAGAATAACAATGTTGTCGTGCGGTACCAGTTAACACGACAACTGAAATTCAAGGGTTTACTTTTCTCTGAATAACGTTTGTATTTAAAAGACAAACATTGTTCCTGTTAAAGCCGGTCCATTAATTACAATAAAATATTAAATCCAATTAAATAGTACACTGAGAAAAAAAAAGTACTACTCTTGAGAAAATTTTTTTGTCACACAAGAATATATTTTTCTTATTTTAAGAATTGATCGAATTAATTGAATTATTTTTTGTTTAATTCAAGTGAACTTATTCGTTTGTTTATCTATCAAAATTAATGTCAATATTTTATTAGTAAGATAGATATTGATATTTTTTTGTCAAAAAACCAAAATTTATTTTAAACAATTCTTGAGCCAAGAAATTTTTTTCTGGACAAAAAATTTTTTTTTCTATGTAATTAATAAAAAAATAATAACTTAACTTACAATTCAGAAAAAAAAATTTAGAGAAATAAAATAAAAATATTATTATTCATAATTTAGTAGTTAAATTCTAAAATTTGATACGTCGGGAAAGTTTTCTATACAATATCCCCGACAATTGTTGTATTATAAATTGTAAACGAATCCCAGAGAACGCATAGCTCTGGTAGAATATAAAGCAACTAGAGAAGAACTGCTGACGAGTATATATTAAATAAAATACAAAGTATAATATAAAATAAAATATGAGAAAGAGTGGAACGGCGAGGTGAGGGCTGGACGACAATGAGTAAAATTTCTTTGTGGAAAGTCGCCGCGTAAAAGTTTAAATACGAAATCATTTATGGACACACGACAGTAAGTCTGTCTATTTGTGAAAGAAAATCCTCAACAACTTCACTCCTACACAGAGCTATAGAGAACCAACCAGCTGTACTAAATAATAAAAGTCAGTGGCGCGTGCTATACTTTAGGTTTATTAAATTGCCAAGAGTATTATTGCCTCGGTAGGCACCCAGGCATTTTGTAGCTGAACAAACAACTCGAAATAAAACCCCTAAAAAAATAAAGCAATAATAACAATCATATATTTATCCCACTCCCCATAAACTACATACCCCTTACTTACTCGCTGTAAACTAGAGACTACACCGTTCAGGGTATGCCAGTGCTCTTAATGTTCTTTAAGCTCCATATCATCTTTTCTTGCAGTTTTTTCTCTTTTTAATTTAACTCGATATTTACGAGCTAAGGGTGAATTTTATGTTATATCTTGTAGTTACAAATATATACGTTATTTCAATTAGGAGAATTAATTTAACGCACAATTGAGCAATATATGTACAGTCCAATGGACCCTAATCATTTGATTAAGAGAATCTCATTTTATTTTCTCATGCTTTTGATCTGGTTATTATTATTGTTATTTTATTTATTTTTAATTTGAAATTTTTTGTCTTAAATAAATAAATTACATATTAAAAAAAATTTTTTTTTTAATTTAATGTTTATCTTTTAAATATTTGGACTTAATATTTTTAATAAAATATTAATAATTAATATTTTTAATTAAATATACTAGTTAATATTTTTAATAAAAATTTTATGGAACAAAAATTTAAAGTTAAGAAATAAATTTCTTATTTTGAAACAATTTTATTTTTATAATTGTATTGTTATGTAATTTACTTTAAAATTACAATATGAATAAACTTTTAAACCATTGCTAATTTTACTACGTAACTCTATTAAATAAGACATATTACAGTTAAATTTTCTCTAAATTGCGACACAAGAAAGTGCAATAATTAATTTTGAAAGAACTAAATCAAGTAATTACATAAAAATACTAATTTATAAAAAATTGTTTAGACAATAATTACTTGGTATATATTTAAAAAACAAATTTTTTTTATTAAGATTAAAATAAATTTTTTTTTCTACTAAAAATTTAAATAAAAGAAAAAAATTCTCATTTAAATTCAATAGATCAACTACCTCTTTTTCATTCAAGTACTTAACGGAATTACGAGTACTTTTTATAGTATACATAAAAAAATTTCTATATATATATCCGTCTGAATTTATATATACATTTGATAGCTATAGATATATGGAGCAGGAATGTTCCCAGGCAAGCACGCGCAGAGCATAAACTCTCATATGCTTTTGACATTTCGCGCCCGCGAATCATCACTCATTTATTATCATGACTATCTCACCAATCATTATCATGATCTGGAAATTTTTTTATCACTCATAAAAAAAGGCGATAAGACACTTGACTTGTCAATAAAAACTCCGGCGTGCGATCATTTTTTTTTTTAAATTATTAATACGAGGAATAAAATATAAAAATTAAATTTCAAATCTAAAAAATGAAAAAAAATGAGTTAATTCAAAAATCGAATGTAAACAGATAAAAAAGGTAAATACCTGAATACTTGTCCAGCTTCGGTGTGGCAGCCATCGTGAGTGATCGTCTCACTAATTAATAATTATCACAGCACACCGTATTATTAATAACATTAAACACTATTTAACCATTTTATTACTATAACTCATAACACCATTTATCAACGCACTACATGCGTTTTATTTATTTAAATACTAAAGTAAACTCAAGTTCCACCGCTACATTTTCATGTTTGTCAACCATCTTCATTCATGCGCGCGCACTTACTGCCGTCTGCTGGCAATCACCCGAATTTTTCCCACCATCTTTTTTTACTATTTTTTCGTCTAGGAATTTTAGATTCTCCCTGGGGATATTATCTAGGGACAATTATTCTCACTGCATTGTTGTTCTCCTCACCTGTCATTGTCACTTCAACACCTAACCATAACTAATTTTTATTATTTTTGTCTAAATTATTGTGACTGGTAAAATTGTTAGTTTGTTTATTTAGTTTTTAAAATGCCATAAGAGCTTTTGGGAAAAATTTTTACGGGTGAATTTAATTGTTGAAATTTATTTTTAATAAATATGGTAAGAACTATTGTTTGTTTTTAATCATTAATTTTTTAGAGTAACAGTAATGTTCGTATGAATTTTTAATGACATCAGGCTCAAGTGAATTATTTTTTAATCAATGATTAAATGTCAAGCAAAAACAAATTTTTATTCATATAAAGTTTTTTTTTTATTGTTATTTTGTTTTAAAAAATAAAACTATAATTGGAATTATTTTTGTGTAAAGTTAAAATTGAATCATTTTTTTTTAATCTATAATTTAATTATTTTTTTTTAATGTAACAATTGAATTTATGATAATTCCAAGGTCAAAATTTTTAAAGTTAATTTAAAGGTACTTTGAATTATTTTCTAATATTATTTATTTATTTTTATTTATATACTTTAACGCCAATCGACTTTGTACATAATAATAAATAACACTGAAGTAGACAGATATTAAAACTTTTTTTTTAATTTTATAGCAATTAAATTATTATAAAAAAAATATAATTAAAAAGTTCTACATGTGAAAATTAATAAAAATTACAAGTGAAAATTTTTAGAAGCTATTTTTTATTGTTACTTATTTGTTAAAAAAATTTTTAAAATCGACAACTGACGGCTAACTTTATTGTTATAATAGTAAGACAAAAATTTTGAAAGAATTTAATATAAATAAAATTATAAATTAGATATTATATAAAATATAATATTATCTAATTAATTAATTAAAAAAGAAAACAATTATCAAACATCTGGAATATTTAGACTTACAATTTTAATTCCACAATAATTATCAATTGTTTTGAAAACTAATAAAATTAATTCTATGATTTCAGATGTAAAAAATTCAAGTCCTATTTGTATTATTTAAAAAAAAAAAATTGGAGAACGAGAGATTGTAAAAAAAAAAAAATTAAATGAAAAAGGAAATCATGGGTAACACAGTAAAAATAAAGCAGCATTATGAAACGGCGAAAAAAACAGGAATCCTAAATATATCCAACAGACAGATGATGGAAATCCCAGCGAACATGAAGCAATTGGCTGAGATATTGCGTACGCTTGATTTGTCACAAAATAGTTTTAAGGTTTTGCCCGACGAGATAGGAATTTACTCGATCCTCAAGCAACTTAATTTGAGCCACAATAAACTACAAGGACTGCCGGAAACAATTGGTAATTTAGTTAAATTGGAGATACTTAACGCCAGTTTTAATCAGCTTAAAAGTTTGCCGGAGAGTTTGTCTAATTTGTCGCATTTGAAGCAAGTTAATTTATCAGAGAACCAGCTGACGGAATTCCCGCTGATGTTTTGCGGACTGAAGCACCTAGATGCTCTGGACTTGTCTAAGAATAAGTTGACTTGTGTGCCAGACGGAGTTGTCGGGCTGCATGTCATCGAGTTAAACCTAAACCAAAATCAAATTTCGGCGATCTCCGACAAGATGGCCGATTGCCCGAGATTGAAGACTTTGAGGCTAGAAGAAAATTGTCTGCAACTTAACGCGATACCTCCGAGGATTTTCAAGGAGTCTAAAATTTCTAACATTACTGTAGAGGGGAATTTGTTTGAGAATAAAAAAATTGCTGATATAGATGGATACGAGGTCTACATGGAACGCTACACTGCTGTCAAGAAAAAAATGTTCTAAATAAATACCATTTGCTGAAATTTGGTTAATTAATCAATCTTTTTTGAATCGAGTTTATTTCTCGGCACACTTACGAATATTTTGTACAATTTTAAATTTTTGTGCCTGATACTGTTCAAATTTTCTCACGTTTTCTTTTTTTTTTTTTTTCTAATTACAAAAGTATTAACTTTCGTTACTAACAATTTTTTTTTTTTTCATTAAATTAACTGACGTATTTTTAATAGAAGTTTAATTTACTAATTGTTCATGTTTCTGTTTATTATCAGAATATTTATTGAAATTTGATAAATTTTTAAGTAAGTTTAGATTGGAATGCATAATAATAATAATAATAATAATAGACAAAAACATCACAAATAAATAAATATAAAAAATTTGAAAGAAATTTTTATAATTTTTGTAAAATTAATATGACCAAATATTTCAATAATTATACATAAGATTTATTTATTTTTAGATAAAAAAAATAGTAAAATTACAATTTAAGACTTTTTAATTATTTCGGCTGCCCAATTTTAAAACACAGTAACTGCAAAATTTTTATACCTAATTTTTTTTAATATTGCTAAGTAAGTTTAGATTGGAATGACATAATAATAATAATAATAATAATAGAACAAAAACATCAACAAATAAATAAATATAAAAAATTTGAAAGAAATTTTTATAATTTTTGTAAAATTAATATGACCAAATATTTCAATAATTATACATAAGATTTATTTATTTTTAGATAAAAAAAATAGTAAAATTACAATTTAAGACTTTTTAATTATTTCGGCTGCCCAATTTTAAAACACAGTAACTGCAAAATTTTTATACCTAATTTTTTTTAATATTGCTGCACTTTTTATAACTTTTAAACCTTAATTTCAAGTATTTTTTCTTAAAAATATTTATATTCAAGTATTTTCTATTCATAAATCAAATTTTTCATCAATTTAGCAGGCAAATTTTTTTTTAATAAGAATTTCTAAATGTTAGTTACTGTGTTTTGAAATTGGACAGCCGAATTGTCTATAAATTATTAAAAAAGTGCCATAGAGGGAATTTGTTGTAAAATTTCAATTAAAAAAATTTACAATTTGTATATTTTTAATCTTAAATTAACATTTCTTCACATTTCTTAAAATTATTGCAATAAATCTTTCAAAAATAAATCTTTTTATTTTTTTCAAAAATTACTGACATATTTTAATAATTTTTATAATTTATACCTCATTTAAAAAATATTATAGAAATAAAATCTAATAACTGTCCTCTAAATAAAAAATTATAAAAAAAAAACAGAAGTCTCATTACATTTTGTTTTTTATAAAAAAAGTCCAAAGTTTGACTCACGCCGTCCAAGTACCGAATCCCGAAAAAATGGCCGCTGTGAAAATTTAAATTTACGTGGCAAAATAAAATCACAAAATCTCCTAAAAAAATAACGTAACTTTTTAATTACAACTAAAATTTTTATAATTTTATTAATAAATTACAAATAATTGAATAAACACTAAAAATCAGACGAAAAAAACGTAAATTTAAAATGAAAGAAAGCTAACAAATTTCCCGCTAAAAGTATATTTAGTCATTTAGTGCGTGTGGAAGCAAGACGGTGGCGGGCCAGTGCGTGATACTCACGAATGGCCGCCCGAGAAACAGATCAGGGAAGGATGAAGGATAACAATCAAGAGCATTAATTCGGCAAGTGAGAAAACCAAGGTACGTCACCATAAATAATTATTACAAGCGGCCCTAATCTAATTGCCCTTATCATCTTCGGTAAATAATCTCCAGCTCGAGACTTACCACGGGAATACTTAACCGGTGTCAGTACGAAAATTCTCAGGGGTTGCTAATGTCTCGCGTTGTCTTGACCGCGCGATTGATCGTCTGCAAGGGTTGTGTATCTTTTTTTACTTTGCTATTTTTCTCATTAAATATATTTTTTATTTACTTAGACATTTTACCAGATTGTCACTGTAATAAGTCACTAGTGCAATTATTATTTTTTCCTAGAGATCCATTGTTGACGTTATTGTTATTATTGTTAACAACAATCCCAGTTTTAGTCTAGTAAAATAATTTTTTATATTTATTGGTTAATTTATTTATTTATTTATTGTGTTGTATTTTCACCAAGACTGCAGTTAAGTTACCTGCTCCCGTTTGCTAAGTGTGAACTGGTTTTTAATGAGATGCCGATCATATGGGCGCAGCCTCTTTTCATTTTCGCGATACATTTAAATTATTTTTAATTTATTTTTATTTTCATTGCTGCAATTTTTTTTTTTTTAATTTTTGCTGAAAAATTTTGTGAGATTTAAAAATTGAGTTAAAAAATTTCTTAAAAAAAATTTAATAAGAATTTTTTACAATTAAATTTAAAATTATTTAAATTTTAAAAATGTGACGGCTAATTTTTAAACTACAAATTTTTTTTATTAGAAATAATATTTAAGTGTTAATAAATAATTTAAAAAAAAAAAAAAAAAAAAAAAAAAAAAGTGTAATAAAATTAAATAATATTGTCTGTTGGTGCCAATAGAAAAATGTCGGTGCCCGAAGATAATTTGGCGATGCCAGACAGCACGACAAGGGAACAGCGTCTTGGTTTTTCTCACGGCGAGGACGTGCTGCTGCAGCTGAAAGATGGAAAGTTCTATCTCGGAACGATCGTTGAAGTGGACTTGGCCCAGGAAAGGTGCCTGGTTAAGTTCCTGGACAACACGTCCTCGTGGTCGAGTGTCAAGGAGCTGACCAAGTTGGGTACACCGGATTCAAATGTCATGTGTGTGTTGTGTAAAAAATTTAAGCCTAAGCCAGATAATGATATTATTGTTTGTGACAAATGCGGACGTGGTTATCACCAACACTGCCACAAGGTAAAATTCATTAACAGTTTTTATCTTTTGAGTGGTGATAAAAGTTTTATGTGGAATTTAATCTCTGTTAGTCATTAGGTCATTACAGTTGTTTAGTTATTAATAAAAGGTTTACGTGATTAATTGTAGCCTCAAGTAACCACGGAAGAAGCCAACGTAGACTCACACTGGAAGTGTAAAAGATGCCAAGAAAATATACTCAAGACAACACGTGATGGTCCTGACCCAAAGAATTCCATGATCAAAGCTAACATTAGGAAAGTTTGCAGTGGAAGAGACCAACCTCAACCACCGCCTGAAGACATGACAAAATTACCTTATGATGTATACACAATTTATTTTTTTTTTTAAATTACGGGAATAAGTTATTATTAATTCGAGGAAATATTTAAGTTACTAATTAATTGTGTTATCTATTGGATTAAATATGGCAATTTAGATTGGTCGGGTTGATAAATTTCAAACTAAAATGATTAAAAAAATATAAATCCATATCTAACTAAATTAAACTGAGTCAATAAAATTTTTCCAAATGAGCGACTCGAATGAATTATTAGTCTGTTTGCATTTATAAGTAAAGTTTCGCAATCGACGATTGGAAGTTTATTAAAAGACGTTTAAAATAATTCTTAAATCAATTATTGCTATTTATTACCGATTGATTTAATTAATAATTAAAATTTTATTTCCGTAGCCTGAAATGTTGAGTTGGGATTCACATCATCGAGTAAACGCTGAACAAATTTATTGCTACTGTGGACTAAATGGCGAGTGGTATACTCAAATGTTACAATGCGCTAGATGTAAACAGTGGTTTCATGAAAAATGTGTCAGCTGTTTGACGTTTCCTTTGTACAGTGGCGACAGGTATGTTATTTTGTTTTTTTATTCACCGGTATTATCAAATTTATATTTAAGCAATTTATCATTTGTTTTTGTCTTAATTATATTTTTTGATGGTAGAAAATAATTGAAGTATGATTTTTTTTTTAGGTTTTATGTATTTGTGTGTTCAACGTGCAATTACGGAAAAGAATTTGTACGGCGACTGGAATTAAAATGGGTCGATCTCGTGCACCTGATGTTGTACAATTTGACCGTATATAATGCTAAAAAGTATTACGATTTGGACTCTGTCATCATACCGTACGCAGCTGAAAATTGGAACTTACTACAACTTCCACCAAGAGTATGTGTGCTCTATAATTAATAATTGATAATTAATAATGAGTCTTGTCTAAAAATAATTTTATTTAATAGATCAGAGATATCAGCGCCCATATGCGTAGAGAAGCTATACTCTCAATATTAGCCAACAATCGAACTAGATTTAAATGTGGGCGTGAAATAAAAAAACGTACTACTATTTGGGGCTTGAGAGTAAGATTACCACCACCTTGTCCAGTTGTTAATTTACCAGTGACTGGAATTATTGATGACTCTGTTTTACGTCGTTGTTGGGGAGCGAATAGAAGACTACAATATCTTCCACCTCCTGGGTAAATTTTTTTACACGGCTCAGTACAATTATTCTGGCTTTAATTTTGTTTCATTAATTAATTAATTAATTGGCCTGTTACAGACCAGTGATATTTGCTGACAGCCCTAGCGCAATTAATACAACGAATCAAGAAGCTACTGCCTTGGTAACTGAAGCTGTTAGCCCGTCAGATATCGTAACAATGGGAACAGTATTATCGAAAGCCACTGATGTTGATCAAGATACATGCCCAACTCCTAGTACACAGGATCAGTCGACAGAATCTCTCCGAGAAAGGTTTATTGATCAATAAGTCGATTAACTAACTAACTTTTTTGATTATTAAATAATTTTTTTTTCTTTTTTGAAGATTTCAAAATTTTCTCTTTATTTTATGATTTGTTTTCTCTTTAAAAAATTTATTTTGATTATATAATCAAATTTTCATACTTTATTATTCAATAAATTAGAAATGAATAATTATTTAACAAAATTAATTATTTTTTTTTTTTTCGCTTGGAAGTATTTTTTATAATTTTTTTGACTTTAAAATTTATGAGAAATCTTTTTATTTTAATAAAAAAAGTCGCAAGACAATAACATTTAATATTTTAGGTACTTATTATTATACTAATAATGATTGTTAACCATTACCAGGTATAGCGGTGGTGGTTTTGTAAAAAAATCATTCCCGTTCCCAAAATTAAATTTACAAAGACGTAAACGATTAATGGCATTGAATAGTACACATGAACGTATGCTAAGAAAGCATAAAAAGCGTGATAAAGGCTGTGAGGATACTAAAAATCAAATAGTACGTGAAGCGAGATATAAAAAAGCTAGAAAATTACTCAAAAATGCCATCACTAAGGTAAATTATCAATTTTATTATTTTAATTAAATTATTACATTTTTAAAGCCCAAAAATACGAACAAAAAAAAATTTTTTTTCTTCCAAACAACTTTAAAAATTTTTTTTTCTTAAAAAAAAATAAATTTTTACTTTCTAACCTTCTGCATTAGTAAATAAAAATTTTAAAGTTTTAAATAAGAAAATTAAAAATTATGAAGTAGATTTTTCGTTTTTTAAAAAACTGATTTCTTGAATTAAAAAAAATTTTTAATTTTTTAAACAAAAAGTTTTTAAAAATAAAAAAAATTTCAGAGAAAACCACTCCAGCGTACTCCAGAAGTACCAGACTTACCACCGACACCACCAACATCGGTATCAGGACCACCTACACCTCCAGCAACAACTTCAGCGATCAGCGAGTTGTCAGTCCCGAGTTCCGTGGACTTGATATTGAACCTTCCTCAGCCGTCAGTGACTCCAGCAGACACCAGCGGCGACGAGACCAGCTCTCGAGGCACCCTGGACTCCTTCATCCCCCCACCGAAAGACTTCGAGGGTAAAAACAACCCGTTCCGCAATCTCAGCGAGTTGCTGAGCACGCCGAATATTTCCAGCGCTAGCAATTTAGTGCCAGGTACTTCAAGTACGCCGCTGCCCTTTCACCATCATCACCATAATTACCACAACTACCAACCACCGATCACACTTCCGCTCCCATTGACGCCGGTGATACCACACCCGCCGCTGATTCGTCCAGCGAAGCGACAGCTCTCCGAAAAGGACATCATCATCGACCGGAACGGACAAGTAAAGCGACGTAGACAGCACCGTCGAGGCCGACCTCCCTCTCAGCCTCAGCAGTTCCAAGCGACGGCCACTGCCAGCAAAACTGCTGCCATTCTACCGGCTCGCAACAGCGAAGTCAAGAATGACTATGTCAGGAACCTGAGGAGCTCCTTCAACAGTTCCTCCAGCAGCAGCACCAGCCAGATCGGCAGCTGCGTTGACTACGCTCTCAATGGCAGGAGGCTCAGACAGCGAGGCGCTGATAAATCCGCGGCCAGTCCTGCCAATGCTGAAGCCCAGAAGAGGAGTAATTTGACCATGTCTATGCCCTCTACATCAGCGGCTTCTTCCTCCCCAAAAGTTTCTCCGATAAAACAGTCGACTCCCGATATCTCGATGGACGACCTCAAGTCTTCGGTTAATATGTACTTCGGTGCGGCGAATCGCATCGCTTCTGGTGAAAAGTTTGGTGTTAAAGCTAAGAGATTAAGTAAAAGTGGTCAGTTGCAGTATCTTATCGAGTGGGAAGGCCCCAATACATAACGGTAATTTTGTTTCTATCCTCGCATTATCAAATATTTTAATTGTACAATTTGGATGTTAACTTCCAATTATTATTTTTATTTTAAATTGATTATTTTAGTTTATTGGTTTTATTTACTTAGCTTGATACTTGAGTTTTGTATTAGTAACTCATGGAAGGTATTGACTGAGGATAATCAGTGTTGCGGACAAACAACTTTATAATTTATTGTTTAATATTTTATTTGTTATTAAATATTTTTTTTTTGAATTTTTGTTCGTATTAAAAAAAAAAATCTAATTTTTTTTAGTCATATATAATCTTTTTTCTGAAGGTTAAAGTTTTTTTATTTATATATACTGGCTCTTATTTCTGTTGAATATTATATATTTATTTCAGAGTATAGAAATAAACATATCGACGTTCTAATTAGCAAGTTGTCTAAATTTAAAAAATAAAACAATTTCAAAATTTATTATCAAAACAATTTAATATATTATAGAAGCATATTTTAATTTGAATCATTTAAATAATTTATAATTAGACTATTGCTACCTAAAAATATTAAAAAAATCATCTAAAAAATAAAGAGTTAGAACAATTGCTAATTAGATCGTCGATATGGAATTAAAAAATTTTATTCGTATAAATATGAACAAAAGTAAGGAAAAAGACTCAGTTATTGACACTTGCAATTTTATTTTAATTAAAAAAAATAAAACAAATCTAATAAATATAATTTTTTAATTATAAATTAAAAAAAAAAGTTGGGTTTTTTAGGGACATTTTATTTTTTTAATTAGAATAAAATTGCAAGTGTCTAATAACTAGGCCAGTGTCAATAACTGGGTCTTTTACCTTACTTAAAAAAATATTTAATAATAAATTCTAATAAGTTAGAAGGTATATGATGACATGTACAATAATTATCATATCATTTTTTAATTAAGTTAACAATCTAAATTGTACAATTTTAAACATTCACTTTATTATTATTATTATTATTATTATTATTATTATTCAATTATTATTATTAGTTAGTTTGTGATTTATATTCTACGATTGCGATATAAATGACTTTTAAAAGTTCATCATTTATTTCATTATTATAAAAATAATAATTATTATTATTTAAATAGTTTAAAGAAATTAAAATGCTTGTAGCCCTGTATAATCTTAATTTTTATTTTTATAATTAATAAATCATATTTTAGAAACTTGTCATAATTTAAAGCGATTTACAATAATAAAATTATCGTTACACCCACTGACATTTGTTAATTAGATAATAAGTATATGAATGCATTTGAAATATTTAATTTAAACAATATATACTAGTACCGGTCACAAAATTTCTGCACTACCGTCCGCCAAAAAACCAAATTCACAGACAATTATTTATGTTGTATTTTGTTTGTAAAAAAATTATTCCAGCATTCATTCGATTGTAAATAATTAATGATAAGTTTATAGCGACGTCAGTGGGTGTGCGTATTTTCAGATATTATATTCAGTTCGAAAAATTAATTATCACGAGATATTAATTACAGATGAGTGAATAAATACAAATCCAATACAATACAATATACAGTAGATTTTTCAAAAACAAATAGCTAAATATATTTCTTTTAAATATCACATTTGTCAACAAAATATTGCATGTATTTTCATAATTAAAGTAAGGAATATTTTAATATAAATAAATTGAGAAAACCGGGCGAGGTTATTGAAATAATTAATCAATGATAATGATAATAGACAAGAAATAAGCGAAGCAGCTGGTAGTATTGCTCACTAACTACAAGACTAATTCAAAAAATCCAAAAATAAACTTATAGATATTTGTTTAATGTAACGTCTTAATAATCGTTTAATAATAAATTGTAATTATTGTCTTGCGTGTGCATGTTTTAAAAAAAAATTTATTTTTTAGTCAAAATTTAAAATCAAGTTATACATTTTTTTTTATAAAATTATTTTTGTAATTTACTGAAAAAAAATTCTACTTAATTTTCTAAAAATTTTTATAATTTTTAATTGAAAATTGCAAGAATGATAATTATAATTTATTGAATATCATGAATGAAATATGGATAGATAAAATGTAATAATGAATTGTGTAATTAATAAGATGAATCGTCCAGTTTTATAAATTGAATCTTTGAATTTAAATGTATGTATATTTTTTTAGTTTTATTTTGACTGAAAGTTTGTACAAAACTAAAAATACAAAAACCAACTAATAGACAAGTATATTTTTTGAAAACTGGAAATTAGCTGGCAATTATAATTTATTATTTTTTAATTAAACTTACTAATAAGTTTAAAAAGAAAAAAAAAATTCTTAGCTCATAATACACTTATTTAAATTAGTGAAAATAAAATGCGATTGAATTATAAATGAAATTTTAAAGAATGAAATTGAATTTAATGAGCTTATTAGGCAATTTTAAAAAATATATTTATTATGTTGAAGTTTTCAGTGTCAAAAAATAAATAAAACATTTGTATAAATTGATCAAAATTAAAAAAAAAAAAAAAAAAAAAA